GATCTGGTTGTGTGCGCCGCCCCCTGAAAAGGTTTTGATTCGATTTCATCTCACCAGGCCCTGGAGGGCGTGACCACCCAGCCGGAGGTCCTTGACCGACGCCCAGGCGGCAGGGGCGGCCGCGGCAAGGCCGTCGCGCCCAAAGCTGGCCGGCCAAGCAAGGGTGCCCTTAAAGAGCAGCAGCGGGCGCCGCGCGGCGGGGACGGCGACGGCGGAGGCGGCGGCGGGGCCCATCCGGAGCGGCGGCGGAAGGATGGCGGCAGCAGCGGCGACGGCAAGCAGCAGGAGCAAGGGAGGCAGCAGCAGCGGCGGCGGAAAATCGGCAAGGGCAAGGCAAAGCTGCAGAAGGGTGGAAAGCAGTCAGGCAGCCCGGGGTTGAAGCGGAAGTCAAAGGGCAGCTGATGATTCAGCCGGCCATACAGCTGCATAGTCGATAGCTAGTCAGCCCGCCCCCTCTGCCTGTAACCGTCTGCAACACGTGTTCACTTGCAAACTTTTCCGAAGTTGTGTGATTTTCGATTTGATGGGCAATCCAGAGGACTTCAGGCAGCAAGGGCCAGGCCCGGGAGTTGTGAGGATGCAGGCGCCTGCCTCGCGCGCGTCATCGCAAGGCAGTCGCAGGAAAGCCCAGGGCCGGGGCGGCGCCGGCGCCGTCAAGGAAGCCGCCGAGCGTGCCGAGCGCGCCCACGCGCGCGGCCGGCGCCGACGCCGGCGCCGGGCTGCTGTCAGGCGCGGGTGCCCACACAGATAGTCAGGTCCGAGAAGTCCAGGGGGCACTGCTGGGCCATCAGGCATCTGTTCAGCTGCTCGGGGTAGGCCTGCTCCTCAGCAGACGCCGCCGCTTCCGCAACCGCTCACAGCTGAGATGAACAACCCCAGATGCTGGAAGGTCTGCAGCTTGTTTTGGGCCTGACCTCTTGAAGATCGATCGATCTCTGAGACGATGCAAGAGGGTGTCGGCCGAATTGCTGTTGCGATCCTGCAAGGCAAGCCCTCAAGCGACGCACGGGTTCTCTGCTGCTCCTCATTGTGTGTGTGTGTGTGTGTGTGTGTGTGTGTGTGTGTGTGTGTGTGTGTGTGTGTGTGCGTGTTTGCACTTGGGGTTGACTTTGCTGCCGAGACCAAAGTTCTCGCTTTGTCCGTCAGCCAATTTCAGAGCGGCAAGTCAAGTAGTCTGCAGGGCTGCCCCACCAGCCTCCTACAGGCGAACCCTCTGCCGCAGCAGCTGCGATCGCGACACACTGCTCATCAAAGGCGCCTAGGCATGCAGCTGCTGATGCCCCAGGCTGCCATCGCAGCTGCAAACGTTTACGCGCGCTCCTCCAACGTCACATGTTAAACCGCCGCCACAGGATTCTGAATGAATGGGCCTTCAAAGCAGCGTCTAGCAGGTCACATGGTGGAGAAGCGGCGCACAAACCTGCCGCTCAGCTCGGACGCGTGTCCTCCAGCGCGTGGCTGGCCGCCGCCGCCGACGACGCCGCCGACGCCGCTGCCCTTTCTAGGGCCGCCCTTTCCTGGGCCTCCCTGTACGGCCCGCACTCCTCCCTGTGGCCCCCGAGCCAGTGCTGCCGCTGGCTGCAATGGGGGGGGGTCGACAAGGCAGGGGTGAGCCGCGCGGTGACGACGCATGCAGACCTGGCTTATTCCGCGGCGGCCTGCGATATGGTGCTGTGTGCTGCACACAGCACTGCTGGCTGCAGGGCAAAGATGGGGCCCGTGTTCGAGAATACGGTCGGGGCTCTAAGGGTTGATGCACGCGCGCGAGCAGCGGTGCGCTCCAGACACAGCTGGCGGGCACCCGCGGGCGTGCTCACCAGTTTTGAGAGCAGAGGATGACCGCGCAGCAGCCAGAGCACATCTTGAGCTTGGCGCCGCCGACCGCCCGGCCGCCGCAGATCCGGCAGATCTTCTTGGCCCCCGCTGCGCCCGCGCCAGGCCCAGCGGCGGCGGCCGCCTTGATGTCCCCCAGAGCCCTTAGCACCGCTTCTGCTGCGCCACAACCGGTCGCCGGCCGCCCAAAAATGTCTTTGGCGTCGCGGCCACCTGCGGCCCGCTTGCGGCTCATCTCCAGGCCCCAAACCAGCTGCGGCGCGCCCCGCAGCAGCTCGGGAAACGTCAACCCACTGGCCGCAACGGCCGAATGGAGGATACTCACGCACGCGGCCTCGCGCCTGCAGTCCGGCTGCACGCCGCTCCCAAGCGCGTCTTCGATCGCGGGCCCCAGCCCGGGCGCGCCGGCGATCCGGAAGACGCGCGGCGCGTCGCGGGCGGCGGCGGCGGCGCCGCAGAGCGCCGCGGCGAGGAGCAGGGCGGAGGTGTGAGCGGCGATCTCTGCACCGTACGGGCCCCCATCCACCAACTCTACAGGCCTGCACCACCCGCGCCCATCATGAGCGGCTGCGGGCTCGTGTTCGCGGGCCCATAGGCGCCCGCCTTCGGGCGCCGGCCGCCGCGGCCTCAGCAGCGGGCCCAGCGTGGGCAGCAGGCGCTTGGGTCGCTCATAGGCCTCGAGGGCGGCCAAGGCCGCAGCCGCGCTTGGCTCAGCGCGCACCATGCGCGCGAGCAGCGCCAGCGCCGGCGCTTGCTGGCACGGGCCCGCGCCGCCGCCGCCCGGCGGGCCGACTGGAGCCGCGCAGGCGGCCGCGGCCAATACAACGACGGGGATGTCTGCACATGAGGAGAAGATTACTTTGGCCGCTGCGCCGCGCTCAGCGGTTTGCGCGTCGGTTTCATCAGTGCCGGCGCTGCAGCCGATGTTGGCGAGCGCGGCGCAGCAGTTGGCAGCGGCGTGCGCCGCACACGGCACGCCCGCGCCGGCAGCGCCGGCGGCGCCGAGCAGCAGTTGCCGCAGCAGCCCGGGATCAGTCAACGCGCGCAGCCTGGCTGTGTCATTGTAAGCGGAGAGGCCCCCCAGGGCGCCGGCCACCTCGGCAACCATCAAGAGCGCCCGCTCCTCGCCCCTCAGAGGGGCGGCGTTGGCGTGCGCCAGCAGGGCGCCGAGCGCGGCCGGCGCGTCGGGCCGCGCGGCCAGCACGGCGCGCGCCGTTGCGGCCAGGTGCAGCTGTCGGCCTTCGCGGGGCCGGAGGAGGGCCGACAGCAGGCTGACCAAGACCAACGCCAATTTGAACAGGCCGTCTCTGGGCGCCGCCGCCGTCTTTGTCACCGCGCCCGCCAGTCTGCACACAGCGGCTGCCAACATCTTGACGAACCGCTCGTCGTCGCCCACGCGGCCCGCCATCGCCGGCCTGCAGACCAGGACGTGCTGCAGCGCCTGCGCGGCCCACTCTGCATACTCTAGAGGCAATCTCGACCGCAAGTCAGCGGCCGCCTGGGCGTCAGAGCGGGCGGCGCCTGCCAAGAATGGCGCGCAGCCGGCCGCCAAGCCGTCGACGAATGATCTTAACACTCTGCGGGAACACCCGGCCAGCGCGCCCGCTGCGACGCCGCCTTCATAATTGAGGATGGTGAGGCACCTGCAGGCCGCTGCAAAGGCCAGCGGAGCGTCGGCCGCGCAGCTGGCGCCGGACTGCAGCACGCGGATGAGCTGCCTGCGACCGCGTGAGGTCGGCGGGAACGAAGCCTCTCGTTGTCACGGCCTTCGGAAGACGGCCGGCCATATCAGGCACGCCAGGACACATGCGTGCTTTGCAGCTCAAATGGGTTTGTGGGGACTCACGATCCCCCGCTTCTTGGCTGTAGCCAGGCAGAGCAAACGCATCCTGGCTTCGCCGTGGCAGCTCAGCGGACGCATGCAGGACGACCTACCTGATTGCTGCCTTGTGCTGCGCCACCTCGCGGCGTGCCGGCGCGCACTTTGCAGGCCCAATGCAGTTCAATAGCAGCAACATGCCGCTGCTCATTCCTGGGCTGTCAGGCGTCTGTGTGGCGAGCGCGTCTGCGAGCTCGTCGAGTTGGCCAGGCCCGAAAGCGACCTCGGGCGCTGCAGCGGCCGCTGTGAAGAAGCGGTGCTGCAGCTGCTGCAGCTGCGCATCGGAGGCTGCGCCGTTGCGCAGCGCCATAATCAACGCCGCAACTTCTTCTTGCAGTACGTGCATGCTGTGTAGAGGCCTCACAGGCCTGGAGAGAAGTGATCTGCTCAGATCAAATGATGAAAGCAAGATGATTTTGGCGGTCAGGTTGCGCGGAGTCTCCAAGCACTCATATCAACTACGCGAGCCTTGATTTTCGAGAGAGATTTACATACGAGACTGGTTGTGTTTTGGGTGAGTTCGAGTCGGAAGAACAAGGAAAGTCGGACGAACAAGGAATCACAATGCTCGCATCCCCAGCCCTTTTGCCAACACGAGATTGGTATCTAGAGGCAATACACAATCTTGACGCCGCAAGAAAAACCTTAGGCCCCCTGTATGGCTCTGCCCAGAAACCTCTAGCCTTTGAGTGTGGACCGCATTGCCCGCCTTTCTTGACACAACACATGCATGCAGACAATGCCTGTGGCGCCAAGCGCGTCAGTAGGCCCAAGCCGCAAGCGTGCAACAAGTTCCAGAGGGATTGCAAGCCATGATTGTCACTGGTTGCAGTGGCCTGCTTTGTGGGACCCTTACTTGCCCAGCACAGGAACATTTTCTGAATTCCTGCTGACGATCCAAGCATGCCAGCCGCACGCAGCTCAAGCCCTGCAGAGCGAGTCAGCTTGGAGATTGGTCAAGAAAACCAGTGTTGCAGTGGGTGGGGGGTCCTTAACTTGCTGCATGTGGTCAAACAGGCTTGACTCTAGCCACCTTGACGGTGCTGACTTTGCTGCATGTGCTCCACACTCTTGTTGCCGCACGATGTGAGCATTTGCATCACTATGTCGTCGCCGCAAGGTTCTAGTAGCAATCTACAACACCGAGTGTCCGCACCCTGAAAGCGCGCCAAATGCATGCCGAAATGCGAAAATGTTGCGGGAACCAGGAGGTGGATTACATAAACAGTAAGTAGGGCGCGCCTGCCTCCTACTTTGCCTGCATGCACTGGCACGCACGCCCCTGAGGTTACCTCCCACGAGTGCCGCCGCCGCCCCCACCGCCGCCGCCGCCGCCGCTGCTGCCAAAGAACGCCAGCCCCACCGGCCCCCCCGCCTCCGTGTGCCGCCCCTCATTGTTCCACACCCCCGCGTCGTCGCACCCAAACGCGAGGATGTGCGCGTGCTTCGGGTTCCACGCGACGCAGTGCGACGCGGCGGCGCTGACTGTGCCCTCGACGCGCCCGCTGGGCACGGACACGACGCCCACGGGGCCCTTCTCCTGCGCGTACGCCAGCCGGCTGCCGTCGCAGCTGATGGCGACGTCCCACACCGCGTACTCGATCGACGGCACCGTGGCCACGGCGGTGGCGCTTTCCAAGTCCCAGATCGTGACCAGGGCGTCATAGCCGCAGGTGGCCAGGTGCCTGCACATGTAACGTTTTGAGGGGCCCCGGGGCGGGTTGAACCAAGCAGTCAGATAGTCTAATGCCGGCCTTCGGCGCAAAAGGGGGGCCGGCTGAGGCGCAGGAGGGGGGGGGGGGTAGAGCGCACGCGGCAGCGCCTTGCCGGAGGGCGAGCCGCCCCAGCGGGACGGCGGCGCCAGGACGGGCGGAGGCGCGCCAGCAGGCGGCCGCCTGCTTGCGCGGCGTCGTCCCTCCGGTGCATAACTGCCTGCGACCTGGTGGTGCATGTGCTTGCACACAAAAACACCTTCGCATGCAGGGCGCCGCCTTGCTGTCCCCCTTCCCCCAACCATGCTGCCGACTGAAAGAAGCCCCTTTACTGCGAGGATGCAATTCCATGGCGCCCTCACTTGTTGGAGGGGTCGAGGGCCAGCGCCGTGGTCTCCTGTATGTGCCCCTGCAGCGTCCCCCCGGCTTCCGCGCCCTTGAAGTCCGGCCGCACCCGCACCGCCTCCACGTCGCCCGAGCTGCAGCCCACGAGCAGCGTGGAGCCGTCGCGCAGGAACCGGAGCGCATTGAGGTACTGCTCGTGGAGTGGTGGCAGTGTTGGAAGAGATACTGCAGTGAATTAAAAACTTGACACAAAACAATACAGTTCAATATTAGATTAGACTCGTCACAGGAAGAAAGCGTCAGAACGTGGGCCGCAACTAAGTGCTGGGATTCCTGTCAGTAGGTCATTGGTGGTGGTCGATCGGCTGCAGAGGGAGTGCTGCAGGGGCAAATCCAGGACAGATCCCAAGTTTGTCAGCATGCACACCGCACGGACCTCAGACACGCACACAGTTGCTGCCGTGCCTCGCGCTCAGCGCGGCTGCGGCAGCCGCGCCCGGCGCTGCTGTGCCGCGCTCATGTGCATGTCCAATGCGCGGCGCCCCACCTGGTCACGGGGCACATATTGCCCGAGCACCGCCCCTTTGCGAACGTCGACGAAAGCCACCTCGTTCTGCAAGGCGCAAGGTGCAATTGCGTTGTGTAAGAAATCCCCATGGCTGCCCTCTCGGCCCCAAGCCCCCAAGCGCCACCTCAGTGCAGAGCACGGCATCCGGACGCCGTGCTTGAGGCAGCGGCGGCTGCGGCTCTGCAGGGGCACGGCGCGCTGATGCGCGAGCCAGCACCCCGAAAATCACCGCAACGCCGCCGGGCGCCGGCCGGGCGCCGGGCGCCAACATGACCTCCCTAGCCCGGTCCGATCTGCGTCGCCGGCGCCGTGACGACGCTGGATGCTGGCACCCAGGCCAACACCATGCACCTGCCACGCGCCAGGCGCGGGCGACGCAACGCAGGAAGCGCACGGCTGGGGGGCGACGAAGGCTGACGCCTCACCGCTTTGTAATTTGTGACAGCTATGATATTGCCCTCCGGGTGCCACGCCATGTGCGACGTGTAGCCGACGCTGACGGCCACCGCCGGCTTGCTGGCCGCGCGCGTGTCCCAGAGCCTGCGAGCAAGGGGGCGAGACGCGACACAGCGTGCAGCGCGAGGCTGCTGCATCAGTGGCTGATTCGCGAGGGCCCTCGCCAGACCTGATGATCGGCCGCAGCTGCACAAGGTGCACCGCTGCCTGTGCTGCAAGCTTTCCTCATACGCCCACTTCGGTGCGGTGGTGGGGTTGCAGGCCCCTCTACTCGTTGCCGCGAGCTGCGGACAGCCGCCCCCGGCCAGCCCTTACAACCCGTCTCACCTCAGGTATTTGTCAGTCAGCGACGCCAGCTGGTCTTCCCGCTTCGGGTGCCACTCCACCGCCACCACCGCGCCCCCCTGACTCATGAGGGCCAGGTCGCAGCGCTCGGCTTTGGCGCCCGCGCTGAGCTCGACGTTCCATGTCCGGACGCACTCGTCGGCGCCCGCGCTCGCGAGCTTGCGGCCGGTGTGGGCCCATGCCAGCGCCTGCACGGCCTTGCGATGGCCGTGGAGCTCGCGCTTAGTGTACTCTAGCTGCGGCGCCATGGCTGCTGCCCGCTGCTGCTGCTGCCGCCGCCGCAGGTGCCGTCGCCGCCGCCGCCGCAGCCGCGGCTCGGAACGCCCCCAGCCGGCGTTGCCGCTGGCTGATGAAGACCCGCCTGCCTCCCCCTGTTCAATTGCGCTTCAAGCTGACTCTGTTAATTCGACCCAAGATGCCGCCGCTCCTCCGGCCTCCGTAATCGTCTGTGCTACCGCTTGGAGTGCGACTGCAGAAGTGCTGCCGCGCGTATCGGCAAGCGCAGCGACGCCTGCTGCTCTGTCCTTCAGAAAAGAAAAGCAAGGCGCTAAGAAGTTGGTCACCACGTGTTACAAGGCTCTAGTGTTCTACGCCTTGATCTACACAGATCCCAGTACAATTCACGAGAGAAACGATTTGTCTCGCAGCACCGTTGACAACAACGCTGGCAATAGTATTAGATATAACATTTTTTGTTGCCCTGTCGCTGTCCTACCGAGATCGCAAATGTTATATTGATCTCGCACAGTCTGCAGCTTACCGGTATTGTGCTATACCCAGTCACAGCTGCCATGGATCCAGCAAAGAAAGGCCAGCAGCTTGACGAGGACGACGACATCGTTGAGCTGGACGCCGACGATTGGGGACCGGCGCAGCAGGATGCGCGCAACGCTGCGCTGTGGGACAAGAGCTGGGACGACGACTCTGCCGGCGACTATGTGGGCCAGCAGATCCGCACTGTGGCGCGCAATCAGCAGCAGCAGCAACAGGCACCACCAGGCCAACAGCAGCAGGGCAAGGGCGGATGAAGCGGCATGCGGCTCAAAAAAGCAGCATTGCTTGGCCTTGAGCTCATAGCACTTTGACTCGTTTGGATGTACTTTACCTTATTGATAGTCGCCGCAGCTGTGTGCATACATTGTGTGCTTCAAGCAGTGCATGCGCCATCCTTTGCACCGGCTCCAGACCAGCAGCGGTTCGCGGTAGTGCCCCTGGCTTCAATATACTGTAAAATATGCAACACAGGCACGGGATGAATATGATCAGCCCGCCTCTAGGTGCTGCAGGACACTCCTATTATGGTTGCACACCTGGTCCTGGTCCCTATGGTTTTCGCGGTTTAAACCCAGCCTGCTGCACCCAAAGCATTTCATTTGCTGAATCCGGGCCGGGCAGTTGACAACTCAAGTTGCGCGATGCAATCAGAGCGAGCGAATGCCATTACACATTCGTGCATCCCAGGCCTCGTCTGAAGGCCTGCGGGTGCGCCGCCTCGCAGCTGCGCCCCGAGGGACTCCCACTGGCCAAGTGAGGAGCTGCAAAACCGGCCATGCAAGTTGCCATCCACCCTGCTCTCGTGCATGTGTGCTCGCGTATGTGTGTGTCTCCGCTGCCTGTGCATCAGTGGCCGATGCACTGCTGCACCGCAAATCAAAGATCCATGCTACCCCTTCACGACTCCATTGGCGCCGGCGCCTCTGCCGCCTTCTCCTCTGCAGCCTCCGGCCCACCGCCGCCCGCCGCCGCCCCCGAGGCGTCCGCCGCCGCCGCCGCAGCCGCGCCTGCCGCCTCTGGCGCTGCCGCGGGGGCGCGCACGGCGCTGTAAAGCAGCAGGTATGCCATGTGCCAGTCGCCGCCCCCCGACAGCGCCAGCACGTCCTCCTGCGTCTTGGGGATGATCTTGTCATCATCAAACAGCACCCACGTGCCGTCTGCCTGACGCACCCACGCGACATAGTGCCCAGAGTCCGCGCTGCGGCCCTTATGCGTGAGCACCGCCGACAGCTGGTAGCGCCCCGTGAAGGGGCCCTGGTGGGGGCCGCCGCTGCCGCCGCCACTCGTGCTGGGGCCGGCTGCGGCGTCGGCCATCTCGGCGTCTGCGGCGCCGGCCGCGGCTTTGCTGCCGTTGTCGAGCTTCTGGTGCTTGGGAGCCTTTTTCTTCAGCTCAATCTGAGCCGAATATCATGATGTGAATTGAGGGGCCATTGGTGAGGATGAAGTGAAAATCTTTGGCAGTGAGGCAGTGAAAGTGCCCCCAAAATCGCACATACAGGCTTCATCCATCAAACACTCAACCTCAAACCCCCCTACCCAGCGCAACACGCACACGGAAACCGCCCTACACGGGGCCCTTTCCCCCCACCCCACATGCCGCCCACCTGCTCGTCCTCCCAATCCTTGAGCGCGGCGCGCGGCCCCTCCAGCTCCTTCCTAAGTTCAGGGGTGCAGAAGTCAAAAACATCCAGGTCCGATGGGAAGGTCACCTGGGGAATGATTGCAATGCAGCGTATGTACGTTTGTGCACATGTGTATGTGCATGCATGCATGTGTGTGTGTGTGTGTGTGTGTGCATGTGTATGCGCGCATGCGCATAGCATGAGGAAGGAGGAAAGCGCAAGCCATGTGCATGGCCCTTGGCCCATCAAGAACCACCTGGCATTGCAGTCGCGCCAGCCTCACAGCAGAGTAAATCTACGCCCCTGCCCAACCCCTGTAGTGACCTCTAAGACGTCACAGTTGATACATACAAGGTCCCCCAGGTGTAACATCAAGCCCCCCCCCGCAGAGTCCGACGCCTCTGTTGCCCCCTAACCTGACCCCACCCCACACCCCGCGTGCCCCATGCCACCTGTGAAGCGCCCTGTCCCCAACCCCCT